TTTTTTTATAATAATGATATTCATCACCACTGGCGTTAAAATACTTTGTCTACGTGACAATTACATAATATTAATTGATGTGTTCATTTAAATGCAATATTACATGATTCATTTAATTGAACATATTAAGTGTGATCATTTAGACTGGTGCTCTAACGACACTGATTTTAAATAGCATTATTCTTTTTTTTAAGTATCACAAATGGTCCTCAACAAGCGTGTCTAATTTCCAAAATGCCCTCAATAAAATCACAAGACTTATGAAGCATAATTTTGTAGGGTTTGGCCAAGTCAAATCCCCCATTTTCCCCATAAGACCAACTTAAAATGTATTCGCTACAATGGTCTTTTGCATGTTAAAAGACAAACATACCCTTAAGAATGTTATTAAATTACAAAAATATGGCTTTGTTAAAAAAAAATAATAATACACTTTTAGTAAATGTAAAAAATCAAAAACTTTCTATTTAAAATGTCAAAATCAAGACACTTTTCTTATCTATTTTCTCCAATACAGAAGATAAAAACTCTATCATTTTGCATCTGCTTCAACCTTAAAATCTCAAAAATTTATCAAACGCTCAACAAAGAAATCTCGTTTATATCTATCATTTTGAATCGGTAAGTATGCACACGTAATAGTTGAATATTATTTAGACATGTTAATAAGTAGATAAATTTTTTACATTTTATTAAACGGGTCTATAATTGAATAAACGAGTTAAATGGTTAATTTTTCAAAAGTTTAAACAGAGGAAAAAATGGGTTCAAATGGGGAAGAGAGGGAAAAAAAATGAAAATGAAAATACCCTTCACTTAAATTAAAAATTGGATGGAAATTGATGGAATTACCTTTTACGCAATCAAATATGTAATTAAGGGTGAAAATACTAAAAAATGAAAGATATGGACATTTTGCACAATAATAGCTAAATGCAAGAACGTTTTGTGCTAATAACCCATATTGTCCCCAAGTTTTGTAGCTGTAATAATTATTTATAACATCAAGAATTATTAAAAGTATTTAATTATCTGAAATTTTTTTTTTCGACGATTTAATTTTTAGAACATTGATAATATCTGATCAATTCCTCTATAATATTAATAATTGAATTAGGTCTCTGTTTTTTTTTCTTTTGCCATTTTTTCTATGCATTAACGTCAAAATAAATTCAAGCTTGGGTGTAAAATACCATACGCTAGATGTAAAAAATGCATGACTAAGATTATAAGTTCTGAA